GTTCCTACTTCAACATAAAGGTTTGGTATAAACCTAAAACAGTTACGTATGTTTTATACAATTTTATGATGGGTGGTAAAGATGTCCAACTGGGCCACGTATACTCAAAATATCCGTGGCTATATGATTGTAACGTGTTTTCTGTACAGCAATCAAATTTAGATTGCAACATTTTACTTTTTGCCATTTGGATACATTTTATTTTGTGCCATTTTATCTGATATCCTGCTGTTTTCGGTTATTCAGTAAGAAGTACTATATGGGTATTTCATATTCCTACAGAGGAGAGGAAACATTACTTGAGAAAAAACCGTTATTTAATGTGACATATAACTAATATCATATAGATCTGGGTTACTGATACGGGGAAATGAAGAGGCCTATTGATAATGTACATGTACGTGTAAAATAGCATTGATGTGACTTTAAAAAAATTAGCACATTCAAGGTAAATGTTCATATTGTTTTCATTTTATTTTAAATTTTATATTAGTCCTTAAAAATAAACTTGGAAGTGTTATTGAAAATTGTTCATCATTTAACATTGTTAGGTTTGTCGTTTTATGAATTTTGGCATTACTTTCACTTTGGACCAACTCAGTGAAAATCAAACATAGCAGACAAGGCTAAATAACCTTAATAAAAAATGTCATTAAATCAAATTTAAATCCAAAATATCTCAAATAAATCGGTACTTTCGTCCATTTATATACTTGTTTATGCAACTTATGAATTGAATTTAAAATAGAAAATGCTAAATAAAACTTGAATTAAGTGATACTCAAGGAATTATAGGCTGATATTATGTTTCTCGTATCAATTTCAAGCAAAAATCACCAACGAATTAAGTTGGTAGCGCAGTATAAAACATGTCATGTACACTATATTTTTATCTACCCGGACGTTATGAGTATCAGTAGCTGTGTAGAACCTTATACATTCCTTGTTATGGCATCATTCATTGATTGAAACGAAAACTATGTAAGAAAATATGTAAGAAAATCAAATGATTATCAAAAAAAGGATTGGAATGTGGGGATTAAATTTTCACCATACCACCTGTGACAGGTGTTAAGACACCTGTTAAGATATTTAGCATTATTTCATGTTTTACATGATTATACAATAATTTTCTGTCCGGGTTTTTTAACTGTTTACATGTACACAGAAAATGAACGCATAATAAATCAAGTTACAGAGATTATCAATGTTTGACATTATTTTTTATTGTTCAATTTATAATGTAACCTTTATATTTGGTATGTAATATGATCTAGCGGTTCTCTACAAAGATTGTTCAAATTATGCCCCTAGGATGAAAAGGGGTCTGCCAGGGGGATTATCGATTTTATAAAACAAATCAATAAACATCTTGAAAAAAAACCACAAGGCCTACAGCTTTGATATTTAGTTTGTAAAATCATGTAGTGGTCCTTTTACTACTCTACAAAGATTGTTCAAATAGTGACCCAAGGTTCAAAACTGACCCTGACAGGGGGCTGCTCAGTTTTATATAATAAAGTTATATAGGGAAATCTTAAAACAAACTACTTTTCAAAATCCACAAGGCATAGAGCCTTGATATTTAGTATACAACATGATCTAGTGGTCCTCTATAAACTTTGTTCAAATAATGCCCCTATGAAAAGGGGTCCGCCAAGGGGCTTATCGATTTTAGCTCACTTGTCACAGAGCGAAAAGGTAAACTTTTGTGACACAGTTTTGTCTGTCGTCCGTCCGTGCCTCCGTGCGTTTACTTTTTCATTCAAATGACTTCTCCTCCAATACCGCTTTGCCAAAGTTTATGAAACTTGGCAGGCATGCTCCTTGAAGTTGTACTATAGTTGTTCAAAGAATTGAATTCCATATAAAACTCTGGTTGCCATGACAACCGAAATGGAATTTAAAAAAATCTTATTGTCAAAAACCACAATGCCTAGTGCTTTGATATTTGATATGTAACATGATCTAGTAGTATTCTACAAAGATTGTTCAAATTATGCCCTAAGGATAAAAAGTGGCCTCATTAGGGGATTAATCAGTTTTGCATAGAGTTAAATAGTAAAAATCTTAAAAAATTCTTCTTTTCAAAAGCCACAAGACTAAGAGCTTTGATATTTTGTATGAAACATCTCATGGTCCTCTACAAAGGTTTTGCCCTATGGTGAAAAGAGGCCCATTTGAGGGCTGAGCAATTTGACATGGAGTTATATAAGAAGTTAAAAAAAAAAAACAACAAAAGAAAACCTTCTTGTCAGAATCCACAAGGCCTAGAGCTTTGATATTTGGTATGTAACAACACCAAGTGCCTCTCTACAAGAAATATTCAAATTATGCCCCTATGGTCAAAAGGGACCCCATATTGGGGCTCATCATGATATTTGTATGTGGAACATAGTCCTTGTGTCCTCTTCAAAGATTGTTGACATTTTTGCTCCTTGGGGTCAAAAGGTGCCCGCCTGTTTGTCCTCACGGCATGCCTCAGGTGAGCGACCCAGGGTCCAAGTGCCCTCTTGTTTCTCCGTTTTATTTTTTTTTAAACTTTACAGTATTCATTAGTCGAGCATATCTACTCTAGCACTCTTGAACTTTTTTAATGGCAGTTGAGATATTTTTGCGGTAAGAATTGTAAGGAACGAAAACATTAATGCCACACATTTATTATTTGTTACTTAAACAGACGGTGATATAGTAATATACTTCCGTATTACACCTGAATAAGAAATTTACATTGCCTGTGTAAAGTTTTTGCAAATAGCAAACCTGTTCTATGAGTCATTTTAACACCAAATATTGTATTTAAGTTTTTTTATCACACGGCTATCAACTTTCAAAAGGGGGAAGTTAAAATGGATTACACACAAAAATGGTTGTTTAATTTGTATTTATATGATATACGTATAATTGTTATGTTGTTTTGACAAAAAAAATTGCCCGTTCTAATCAACCATGACTTTGCATATGAATTTCACCATACATAGTCCACAGGGCTACACTATAAACAGAAGCACATAACATATACTGATAACGACAAGTAGAGAAAATAGTTTTGGTATATCATTACGAAGACATCCGGGCAGAATGGTTAAGGTCGTTGACTTCAAACCGCTTGTCCCTCAACGCTGTGGGTTCGAATCCCAACAGGGACTTTGAATTCTTTCACGTGAAGAAGCTATCCGGCTAGCTTACGGAACGTCGAGGGTTCACGGAAGGGCACCTGCGGTTTTCCTCCTATATTGTGTCGGTGTGCCATAAAACAAACAATAGGTATATAATTATATTTACATATACCAAATACTGAAGTCATTTTATTGGAGACCCTGTCATGTTATCACTCACCGGCTTTAGATTTATGAGTGTCTAAATGTATACTTCATATTGATGACTCTCTTTTACAACTTCATTATTTATACATGCCAAAATGGTTTCGTTAAGGGCCTTCTAGAAGATACAATTATGTTCGAATGAGTTATTTTGTTAGAACAGAGTTTTATATGATTGTAATCTTGCAATGCGTGTCTACTTAATCCTGATCTGTGAACATGTACGGTGCTAGCAACACCAGGTAAGCTCAATTGCTAGAGCGTTTGCCTGTGAATCGAGAGACCCGGGTCCGATTCCCGGAAAGTTTAGGTCATTTTGTGATGATTGGTCATGAAATCCTTCGATGTACCTCTGCTCTGGCATGTACACAAGTAACTGGCAGTTCCTTGCGAAAGTGAAGACATTTAGTACTGGGAAACTGCTTAGCAGCCTGTCAAACTATGAACGGTGTTGTGGCTGAGCTCTGCTCTGGTAAATTCAATGTGGCTTCCTACCATGACTCGGAGCGAACGTTACGTTTCAATTCTAGAAGCATGTATACTTTTAAATAAAACGAATCAAAGGCAATTAAGCCGAGATATGAGAGCTATTCAATAATGAAGTTTCAATGTGTTTTCAAACATTTATCTCTATAGATTAATGTACTATGGTCTGAACAAAAACTATTGAAGAAAAGAAACAAAGGTGCAAAACTTAGAAATAATGAAATGAATAGTTATTATACTTGTACACTTCAATCCTCTTGAATGAGATATATCCGCTTATGAAGTTTCAAGTTGATATCTCAGATATATTGGTACTGTTTAAAAGCCTACTTTGTCCAAGAAATGCTTTTATTTTTTGATGCCTTGTAATAGTTTCCACAACGTTACTTGTTGGCCAAGTATCTGATGTTGCTTTCTGTGAATATGTGCAGTAACGGTGATTTAGTATTATGTATGAAAGTCAAATTAAACAAGTTTCTAACATGCTCTTTAATCAATAACTTTCTCTCTAAAGGAGAAATATTTATTCGTTTCTGATGCATAATATGCCCTGAGAAAAATTAGTCAAAAAATATAAGCAGGCGAAAAATAAAAATACGTGGTGAGTTTCCTCTTGTAAACTGTGCTACTCTTTAATGAGAACTTATAACCTATGAAATTTGAAGCTGATATTTCAAATACTTTATGAGTTATGTTCTAAACAAACAGTAAGCCTAACCATGAAAAAGTAAAGGACAATAACTAAAACATGTTAATCATTTTTAAGCTTAAGAAGATTTATGAATAGTATCGATTGAAAATACATGTTTACCATTCAGCTCGGAAGGTATCAATCATGGTGTGAAAAATAATAAGCCCTTAAGAACCTGTTTATACCCCCTCCCCTATCGCCGTTTTTCGGCGGCTGGAATATGATAATAGTCTCCTTCCACCTTTCCGTCCGGAGCATAACTCGAAATGTATCGAAACTTCATAGGCATTGAGGAAGAACGCACTGTACAAGAAAAGTAACTATGGTCTTAATGATTTAAGAGTTATTTTCCTTTGTTTATATTGCTTACATTTTGTCAGAAGCATAACTAGAAAAGTTTTTGAGATATCACTTTGAAACGTTATATGTGGATATATAAATATTGAAAATAAACGGTTGTGAAAATGATCGCAAAGTTTGAAGTAAGAAATCCGTACTATCACAATCTCTTCCTGTATTGACTATCAAGTGAGCTAGATTTTAATCTTCGGTGACAATGTAGTATTGCAAACGTTTGAGATAAGACATTTGAAGTCACTACTTATTAATGATATGAAGTCGATAATAGGTTTGAAACAGTTTTGTAATATTTTATATTGCGTTAATACGTTGTCGTCAGGATGGAAAATGCTTGTTTTCACAGAAAAATATGTTTAGATTTTTGTTATCGTATCATTTATATTGTTATTTTTTCTGCTATTTTATCTTTTTAATCATAGTGAATTTCGTTTTCAACGGTTTTGACAAAGTTAAAGTTAAACTAAAATACGAAGAAAAATCAGTGATATGAAGATTTCACATGCATATGTAAATGTGATTACACATACATATGTAAATGTAAGTTCAAAATAAAATATTCGTAGATCAGACATTAAGATGACAATTTACATCACGACCAATCTCTTATAGTTTTGATGACAGTGGTTAGCTGCATGTGTATCAAGGAAACCAAAGCAAATGACGAATATCGGGTATACCTTACAACCGGGGACCAATCAAAGAAACTTTCCCGGGAAGCTCCATGCCAAGTTTCATCATCACATAATGGTTACAGTGTTTGGGTTGACAGGACGAAAAGGAGACAAACAATAGAGGGGTTTGGCGCTGCGCTCACTAATTCTGCTGCTTATGTAATTTATCACAGTTCCGTTCGACATCAAATATTGCGAGATTTATTCGGAAGCGGGGAAAATGAACTTGGTAAATAGGTGGCAACAGTTAAATTCTGAGTTTTAAGTGCAAAGTTTTAAATTTGACTGCTTTTTTTTCGATCTTAAAGGTTTCCATTTTTTTTTTATATTTTGAAGATACCAAAATCAGATAATCAGTTTTATGTTAATGCCGCTCGTTTCGTACTTACAGTAACTGCTGTTCATAATTAATGGTTTCTCTTCCAGAAATATATATTTAAAACTTATTTTAAGATGATTTTATTGGCAGTTAATTTGAAATATGAACTTTTTATGAATAAATTAATTGACATCGTATATAGGATACTTTTATTTAATATATTTCATTGAAGGTGTAAGTTATTTGCGGCTACCTATGGGATGTTCTGATTTAAATGCTGTTGTACCTTACACGTATAATGATATTCCGAGTGGACAAACGGATTTCAATCTTAATCAGTTCAGCATCAACAAAGATCGTGCATTTGTTATACCAGTTATAAAAGAAGCCTTATCGATCAACCCGAACTTAAAAATCATGGCCACTCCTTGGTCAGCTCCAGCTTGGATGAAGAACAATCGTAATCTAAATGGCGGAGACTTTATTGATAGTTGGAACTACTGGCATACATATGCTCAATATTTTTGTAAAGTTCATTGAAGCTTACAGATCAGAAGGTATACATATTGAATCACTTACTGTTCAAAATGAGCCACTGCTGTCACGTGATGACTACCCGACAATGAAAATGAGCGCTGACCAACAGAAGGCTTTTATCAGAGATCATTTAGGACCGTTGTTTAAACAACGTAACATTCACACCAAAATTCTTGCCTTCGATCACAACTGGTCTGATTCATGGTACCCAGAGCAAGTTGTAAGCGACGGTAATGTTTTATATTTCTAAAACTAAGATACTAGTATATTGATTGTAGCGTTAATTTTATTTGAAAATTGTGAGGAATAACGATTACCGAATACTACAACAGCTATATTCTTACTTTTATCAGTTAAGAAATGTCCTAAAAGTTGATAAAACTTTACATTTCTTTATGGTAAAAAGAGGTCTCCGTGTAGTAAATGCACTTGAATTTGACCCAATACTTGTAGTTAATGTCCTCGAATATGACCCCATACTTGTAATTAATTCATGAAGATCAAAAGGAAGCAGACTTAGTCGTGACGTAAATATAACATTTAAATAATGGTAATTTGAATAAATACACAATTTTACTCTCTCATATGCATGTAAAACACGGAAAATTGATTGGTATATTGTAATTACGTTGTGAGAAATTTTATTTTCAAGTTCACAAAAGAGATTATCGTTTTCTTGCAGGCAATGCAAAGCAGTATATTTCTGGGGTAGCCTGGCACGGATATTCTGGAAGACACGACACACCGAGTGCATTTCATGTAAAATTTTCAGATGTTGGTGAGCGTTGTTTATGTCACACGAATTAACTGCATTAATTATGCAACATTTGTATTCCTTAACGTACAAACTGTAATATGGAGATAGACTTATTCATGGTTGACACTGATGAAATGCTATTTAAACAGTTTACTGCATTTTTTTTTAAATATTTCAAAATTGATTATTTATAAAACAGCAAAACATGATATACTAAATGTAATATTGTGTTACAGTAATAATGTTGATTTTGTTTCAATTAATGATAAAGTGTTAAATTTTGACATATTTTCTTCTAGATAATTATTTCACGGAGATATCTGGTGGATCATGGGATACAAATTTTGCTAGTATTCTGACTTGGGATATGAGAATAATATTTATTGGGTCAAACAAGGAACTGGGCAAAAACTGCACTCCTATGGAGCATTGCCCTTGAATCAGAAATCATGGACCAAAAAGGTTACATGTAATATGCAATATTTAAATTTAGTATGAAGCTGAAGATAGTTTGAAAGTTTGTTATAAACATGTACAATGTAACTCCGCCAAAACGACCCCTGTAAGGCAATCACCCTAACAACAATAGGCTTTCAATTCCAAGAGGAAAGATATTCATTAATATTTAACCGTGGAGAACTAACACCACCCAGAAAACAACCGAAAATTTTTGTTTCCCAAAAAGGGTGTTGCTTTGGTAAAGGGGTTGTGTACTGTACCTTAGAAAAGGGAACTGTGGCGGGTTAAAAGGTGGTTTATGCTGAGGGGTTTGGCAAGGAAATGGAATTTTGTTTTGCATTTATAATCATCGACTGTATGCATGTATAAAATTGTACATGTACTAAAAGATATATGCATTTCGAAGATATAATTCCACAGTAAATTTTCATGGCACGAACCTTGTTGACTAAAACGTTTTGTTTTTAACCTATTTCAAGTTTATATAATATGTTACTAATATGTGAAATCTAATACTATTGAGACTGAAATTACTTTCAGGTAGCAAACCTTGGAGGATGCAATGATTGTCGAGGTGTAATTACAGTGCAAAACAACAACTACATAAAGAACGCGGAATATTATGCTCTAGGTCACATGAGCAAGTTTGTCAAGCCTGGTGCAGTACGTCTAGAATCAAACTACATCAGTTGGGATGACCTTCGGACAGCAGCGTTTGTTAATACAGACGGTAGCACTGTTATTGTCGTTTCCAACCCAAGCTCGAGCAAGTCTGCAACCTTTTCGCTAGATATTGATGCAAAGCATTACCAATATAATAACTTACCACCGCAATCTGTAGTTACATTTGTGAAATGAAGTACAGAAATAAAATAGACTCATATAGTCATAAAAAATGTTTATCATTTTACAATACACAGCGAAAATGAGATACTAATACTATTTTATGGCTGAACAAATGTTGTTTTCTTTATTTACTGAAAAGGCTTGTTGCATAGTTTTTTTTCTCACTCCAGAAAACACAACAACTTTACTGTTTTAGGTGAGCCTAAGGTGTATGTACTTGTATGAAGTCTATGCTTAATAAAGGTCCATCCGCCCGGAAGGCACAAAACACTCGCTATCGAGTAACGACTCCGGACATGTAACAAGTCGTGCTCTTAAAGGTTTAATTTTGAAACTACAAATGGCGAAAAATTACCACCGTGCAATTTCCACAACAAGAGATGTGAATTTTGATCCGGAAAGTATGTCACTGTAAAGCAGACAATGAGCACCTTAAATTAAAATGTACAGTAATCTGGGACTTTAGTAAAGGAGGTTAGCCCTGATAAGGGCTGTTGGTGCAAAACAAAGAGCTTGCCTTTCAAACCTATTAGTGGCTCGCACACCCTAGTACCCTACCTCGCCGTCCCTGCCTAGTTTGTAGGACCACTCCCCTCTACTTAAGTCAGAAGCTACATGTAGTTCATGGGATGCAAGGGGTCTACGTAGCTTAAGTCCTCCAAAGCAATGTGGTGAAAATTTGACCTCATGGACCTACCCTCTTTGTACAAAAACAGTGCCCGGATGTTAACCTGCCAACGCGTCCTTGATGAAAATAAAAGCGGTCCAATTTTCCTAAACCCATGCATCATGCCTCTTAGGGCGTACAAAGTTTCTAGGGATAGATAGTTTCCCAATTGTAATAAAATCTAAAAATTTTTTATTTTGGAAATTTTTGGCTATTTCAAGAAAACCAACATTATTTTTAAAATTTTTTAGTTTTTATTAAAATTTTTAAAATTAAAAAAAAGTTTTTAAAATTTTAAAAAAAACTTCAAAATTTCCCTTTGATTTCCCCAATAGTATAAATAAAAGGCCATGCATGTATTTTAATTCTGCTTCAAAAAATGCAAAATTTTCGTGTTGGGATACTTAATTTTCATTTTCAAGCTATTTTTTTTTTTGGGCCTATCGGGATATGATTTTCCCAGGTCCCCATCCATATAAATTTCCTTTTCTAGACTTTGGGAAATTTTAAATGTCATAAAAACTAAACCCTGTCACAAGCATTATATTATATTTCTTAAAGACTTAACATTTATATTTTTAGATATTAAACAGTACATGTACGTGATACTGCCTTGTGTACTTACAAAAGAAAAGTAATAATATGACCACCCTAGATGACCCGGTTACTTATAAGATTAAAGTTTTCCCCAAATACAGATTTGTATTATGTTTGACCCTCATAACACCTATTCTCACAAGATACGAGGCCCAACTTAAATTGACAGAATGTTAAAAAATGAACTTGTTTTTTACCAAAGTTTTTTTTTTACATAGATGGTTAAAGAGATATGTGTCCGACAAATTGGGAAAGTTACAACACTCAAACTTGATTATTAATTATCTGTAGAACAGCCACTGAAACAAATTGAGTACTTTTGTAAAATGTAATTTACGTTACCTTAACTAAAAATAAATCAATGGTCATATTATAAAGATATTTTGATATATTCCATAAATTCACTTGATACAGATAGCCACTTCGATAAATAATTTGTCAAAGTAACATTACATATTTAATCCACAGGATTTTATAAAATCGTACACCAAGCTTTAACATTCTCATTTATGTTGGGTTGAATATTTCTAGAAAATATGATCATCAATATTAATAGCTACATAAACAATCTCATTGTTGTACTTATTTAGTTAATTTTATTATGAAGTATAAGCACCAAATATTAACAAACAACGATATTTAACTTTAAAATATATTTTGTAAGCAGCATACACCAATACAAAACTAGGAAATGGTAACGTAAATTACAAAGTATGCACCTTAAACTGGGCAACAGCATAAAACTTAAAGATTAAAGATAAAAAACAGCTATGTTTCATTTTTATGCTTTTGAATAATCTTGTAATAAGTTCGTCGACTGAGATATTATTATGAAAGGTTTATGCTCAAACATATTCATTTATCAATTTCTTTAAGAAACTAATAGCTTAAGGCCGCAAAATACCTCGTGAATGCCATTAAGACATTATCTTTTTTATCATATACATGTATATAAAAAATTATATAATATAACAAAGTCTATGACTTGGTTTCAAGCTGTTACTTTCACATCAAATATAACATATGTACAAAGTAAAAGAATTGACCTGTTATGGTAAGGTAGACTACCTCATATTCAAGGATGTTAATATATGTAAAAAAATTGAACATGTCAAGCAGTTAAATGTTGATGTCCGAGTTATTGAAAAAGAAAATCAATTAATTCTTAAATTGAAATGAAAAAGTCTGATCAAATGCATAAGGAAATATTTTTAAATTTTAAACATGATGTTTATAAACAAACAACAGCTTTGTTTGAAACAAAGCCATTGAATCATTCAAACAAAGCTGTTGAATAATTTCTTTAAAGCGGCCTTCTGTTTTTCTGAAGGTTTTATGTTTCAAGATTAATGTCAAATAAAAAAATATGGTGGAAAATCATACTTGCCATCATAAAATACAGAATCAATGATGAAACTCCTAGATTCCTTTAATCTACATGTCCACTATTTATTTGTATATTAGTAAAGCGTGCGATTCGTTTTTCGATTTTCTATTTTTAGAAACGAACATTACCGGCTTTCTAAAAAATTTAATAGCTCTTTAGACACTTTTAGTCCTTACAGTAATATGTTGCACTTTTCTAAGATAAAATTACTGAAATACTTAATTTGAAAAAAAATCATTTTCGAACAAAATATGAAAGCTGAAGGCCGCTTTGAGTCAACCTTATCTTGTCCTCTATTATGCTGAAAGAGCGCCCACAACAACAAACTTTGATGACTCATCTATGCTAGAAAAACGTCTTCAAACTTGACACAACTCTTGTCGGCATTGTTTGGCCATTTAAAAGTCATCAGCTATGTCAACCTCCTCAATCAGTCCAAGGTAGGCCCGTCGTCACGATTTTATGATTGGTGCGGCCAATTTGGTAGGTTTTAGGCAGAATCTAGGGGGGTACGGGGGCATGCTCTCCCTACATATACCTGGTCAATTAACAGTGTCCAGTCATTTTCTGATATTACCGCTCATTGCATAAGGGGCCCGTTAAGTGTCAAATTGCTAATCAGCGATGCGTGTATTTTCTGTTTTTGTTTTGTCTTTTTTACTCATATTTGGCCAAAATATTGGTCCGGCCATGGCCGGACCGGCCGGACCATCGACGACGGCAATGTGCTTAACTACTATGTTCCTGTTTCCGAGGGCTCTTGAACTTACACCATTTTTGTAATCGACAATTATTTTGTCTTCACAACCAGACCAATTAATTCATTAACTTAAATTTGTGTCTCGAGCTCTTTCATTCTGTGTCAATTTCTGGACATTTTTTTCTGACATTCTATGTTCTGGTCGCTAAAGCCACTTGTTTATCTTTTCACTGTTGTAGCTCAGTATGTTTTTTTTCGTTCTTTTTTCAAGTTACTTTACTCCTTAAGATGTTATTTTTCCCTCCCACAAAAGGCTCGCTGTATTTCAGCCTATGATATACCCATACTTGCTAAAACAAAGAAAAAGTAATCTACGTTAGTTATTTTGTAATCAACGTTACCATTTTTGAAAACCATTTATTTATGCCTTAATTACAGTTTTTCCTCCAGGAGCAAGCAGTGTTATTACATTAAACTACCATATAATGATCTACAATATAGGAACATGTCAAATATTTGGAAAAGAGCTATTTATTGGTGTTGCAGATATCACAAGTTGATATTTTTGTAATCTACGTTACCAACATCGTTATCACATTTGGTACACCTTTATAAAATCTTAAATGATCTGGTATAACACAGATAACATAAATGTATCTGTGTAGATCTGTTATGATAAGAATTTATGAACAAAATCTTTTGCATAGTAAAAATAAAGACAAAAAAGGAAAGGATTTGTTTAATTATACAAACTTAGTGGGCCATGTAACTAATATTTGGAAAATTTTTTTAATAATAAGTGTACCAGATCAATTTCATTGGAACTAAGGATGTATAATTCAATTATAATTTTAAAACTATAATAAAAAAACATTTTTATCACTTACAATGTTTTGCTTTCCTAAAGATAACTGGAACTCGGCTATACAGTCTTTCCGCGCGGAAATTGCAAATGGAAATGGTGGAATATGTGGCAAATAAAGGGAAACAAACTATGTGTATATTGATCTAGAAGTTTATATAACGGAACCTTGAAACATTTTAACGTTATCTCGGACATTAAAATCAAATTATTTGCAGAAATTGAAAACCCGTGGTAACGTTGATTACATCTTGTAGATAACATCTTTATTGTCATGAGCATGAAATTTTTCACAACAATCAATTTTTACAAAATAAAGAAATATTGAATGTTAAACTAATCTAATTGATAATAGTCTATAAAGAGCACACTAGCTATGCCCTAATATTTGAGTAATAGCAGTAACGCAGATTACAGTCTTAAATTTACTTTACAAATGTAAAGTTTGTGTTTCTGGTGTAATGTTGTTTTATGAAATTAGTTTATCATTGTATCGCGTATCATTTTACTATGTTTTGTTAGTACATGTATTTGCATCTGTTTAAACACCTTTTAATGTGTTTATTGTCTGTGTAATTTTTGAGCGCAAAAAAAGTAACGTAGATTACATTGGATTTGGAGACAAGGAAATTTTGTTTTATAACGAAAATGCAAAGAGCTTCACTCAAAATTTATTTTAATTTTCAAACTTCAACATGTAGTGAAACAAAAATTAAAAAAGATATGTTCAGTTTTTAACAAATTGATGCAGCACTTGTGTGTTAAATCATGCGACAGCGTATTTTTCTTTTAAATTGATATTATTTGTTTGTTTCTTTTTCTTGATACCACTTTCTTACATCTATTGTGTATGTAAGTTAAAGGTAGGAACCATGTTATGTTGAAAAAAATAACAAAACTGAACTGTATAATTGTATATGTTTTAACTATCGTTAAGAGACACTCAAATTTCAAACTTGGACCTATATGGTGAGAATAGGTGATAAGCATTTGCTATTATAAAAAGAATAATATTATCTTAGAAATGATACGACTTTGGTGTACACTGTCTGTGTGATTTCTGCTACATTGCTCAGTAACAAAATGTTTGATTGAACCTGCTCATGAACCTTGATATATCTTCAACTATTTAATACATCCTCGGTCAATCTCCACACAGTGATCTCCCCTTAATTCTTCGGCGTAGATCTCTGCCACCAAGGTCCCAATATATCAGAATTTCTGATATACTATATTTTTTCAAAAATTGTTTTATCTACTCAGTGTGGCCATACCACGTGACATTGACGTCATTTTCGGCATCATTTCCAAGACAAATGTTGCTCGATTCGGAAAAGAAAATAGCCGTAAATATTTTATTTCTGTACCAATTTCTTTGGGATATGCACCAGTCTACGGGGAAAAATATAAGCTTTCAACAGAATATTGGATTTTCGTTAGTTTATAAGCCGTTTTATCAAACACTTTGCATAACCTTGGAAGTTACTTGTATTAGAGCGGGCTTCAGTTGCAAGCTATTTCGTATTCTGACATTATTTGGTCTACGCCATGATTAAAAAGTCAGGTTTACATCAACCGGAGGTACAGACAGCAAAATCCTACCTTAATATGTTTATATGTTTATTATTTAAGGGGTAAATCTTGCCTTTTTCTTCAATTGTCATTTCTGGCACCAGTTCCAAGTCGAAAAAAAGGACTACAGTTTAAAGCAGATTTTAGAATCCAATGCAATTGCAATGCAACATGCCTACCGTTCTCTTTCTATAATTATGATAACCTTGAAAAACATTTTATTTACTATACGATTTACATAAACACAAATGAATATTTATATGATTTTCACTCGCTGCGCTATAAGTGATTTTAAAAGTCGTAATATTGTTGTCTGTATTTGTAAAGAAATTGATTTGCTATTTAACTATTGTTCTTTCACGGTAATGATTATGAAAAATCTATTAGTGTCATGTAGCAATACTAAACGTGTAATATTCAAAATATAAAGAAAACAGAAACCCTAAATATCGCCCAAAATGGCAAAAATTGAAAATGTTGCAGGCTCGTGTGACTTGGCTAGCCTGTGCAATGAACGTGCACATTCAGGATCACTTCCAGTTGTATGCTGTGAAAAAGGTTACGCCTCAACGCGGCAATTTTAAAGTCAAAGGTTATTCTTTTGTAAAGAGTTATTTATACGTATGACCATATATATGCTTGGTAAAGAACCTGTAGCAATGTTTTAGTATGATAGATTCAGCTTTTTTACACAGTGGCACTCGTTGGTAAAAAATATTTTTACATCCTGTTTTTATACCCACGGTAACCGTTTTTTCGTGAACTGGATATAACTGCGGTCACTTAAGAACACTAAACACTATTCATTTTATTATTGCATTTATTTCTGTTGATAAACTGCATATCTAACAAATTTAGTTAATTATATCAGTCAACCCAGCTTTATCAGAGAGCTCACCAATACACATTGTAAAGAGAGGAAGGGAACAGAATATTTATGGTTTGAAAACATTTAAATCGAGTAGAATTTTTTAACAATAATGTCTCTTTCAACTGAATAAAAACGATAGGGCTATTTGGGACTATTTCTTATCGATGTGGTCATTGGCTGTAAATGCATGGATTATTGCACGCGGCGTGACCTGCAGATGTCCTCAACAGGATTTTTGTAGCATTTTAAGATTTAAAAAAGGGTCACATATTTAAATCAAAAACATGATAAACATGATGCATATGCCAAAAAGTGAATTATCTGATATGTAAATAAAGAAGTAAGTCATTTGAGAGCTGAAGGATAAAAATTAAATGCAACTAAGTAACAATACTATCAGGTTTGCACGGCAAAGTTCCAAGTTATATGCAATGATATTTAAAATTGTTCTACACAAAGAACAAAATCTGACTGATGAAAGTGCTTATAGTTTAATTAGCATAAAATGTCAACGCGTGACAATTAGATTCATGATTTCAATACCGATACATGTGCATAGTACTTAAATTGTGATTTCGTTTATCAAACTCTATAGAAATTTATAATACGACATTGCCAGAAATAATATATACCTTTTAAAAGTCTCTTTTGACCACAGAAGAACCTATTCGTCACATTCACGAGTGTCAGTGTTTGTCAGTTACTCCGTTACAAAAAAATTACCTTAAGCTTTACAACACTCGCGTTAATGTGTTACCTTTTCCGTAGCATACAAAAGTTTTTTTTATTTTAACTCTTTCTCTCACTGAGGGCACATATATATTTCTTATCAATTTCTCCATTGTGAAATAGAATAAAACACATTTTACTACATAGGATAAGATGAGCAATACTTTAAACATCTTCAAAACGAAACCAAAATATTTTTTTTTTCGACAGGACTAAATCTACGTGAGTTGACGTGAACTATTGCGATACAAATAAGTGTTATTACTTTAAGGAACAATTAGTTTTTTCACAATCTCTCTGTGAAAGATCAACAATGAAAAACTAAATTGTAGAAAGAGAACGGTAGGCATTTTGCTTCGCATTTGTAACGGTTTCTAAAATCTGCTTTAAACTGTAGTCCTTTTTTTCGACTTGGAACTGGTGCAAAAATTGACAATTGAAGAAAAATGTAAGATTTATGTCATTCATAATAAAACTATGAACATATTTAGGTAGAGTTTTGCCTTCCGTACTCCCGGTTGATGTAAACCTGACTTTTTCATCATGGCGTAGACCAGTTTACGCCAGAAAACGAAATAGCTTGCAACTGAAGCCCGCTCTAATACAAGCAACTTCCAAGGTTATGCAAAGTGTTTGATAAAACGGCTAATAAACTGACGAAGATCCAATATTCTGTGGAAAGCTTATATTTTTCCCCGTAGACTGGTGCATATCCCAAAGAAATTGGTACAGAAATAAAATATTTACGGCTATTTTCTTTTCCGAATCGAGCAATATTTGTCTTGGAAATGATGCCGAAAATGACGTCAATGTCACGTGGTATGGCCACACTGTACTGCTTTTATCTATCAGATAAGTTTTCTCTCAATTATTTAACAATGTTTATGAATAAATAAATAAATAATATGAATATTTAGAAATAATTTTAAAAATTATGAGATTATTTTCTACCGAGACGATATTTTGATATTTTATATTTTTTAGCTTTTGAATTTATTTTTCGTTATTTTGTATACTTTCGATAATTTTTTAATAAACTATATGGAACGTAGGCACTAAAAGTAAAAAATAAAACAGAAAGAGAAAAATAACGTAAGATTTTCTTTGTAACGGTCGATATTTACATTTGAATTTCGACGTTACGTCATGTGACTTTCATCATCATGTGACGTCTTTGAAGGCAGTGATTACAATTCTGCCAAGGGAGGTAATCACTGTGAGGAGTTTGATCCTCGGTAACCCAGGCTATTTACCGTATACATGAAGTATATACAGAATGTGTACCGTGGGTTCCGACGATGAGCACGGGATTGTTTAATGATTGATAAAATTAATATTTTTGATCGTCAGTATGCAACATGGTGTTTTAAATTTATAAAAACTTCCACATTTTTAATATTGTTACTCTAAAGCGTAACACTATTTAAAACAGTGAATATACATATGTGTTTATACCAATTGTTAACGTGAAAAAGGGGGAAAAAGGAGATTTCGTAGTCTTGTACTGTACAGTAGTCTTCAACCTTATTAAACACATAGTTATGCCCCTTACATTTCATTTGCCATTTGTAATGAAAAACTGCGCCAACATTTAGAAAGTAAATAAATAGACAAGTGGGCTATGACATAAACATACAACTTGAAAGATGACATAGTAGGTATATCTATGTAAGTAGCAATATCATTATTTTATAAAACAAAAAAAGAGATTATTTTATCCATCAACTGCAGGATTTCGAGACATACAGACACCGAGACGTTTAAACGTTTCGGTCCCGGACGTTGGGCCTGTCTAAAACGCGGACGCCTTAAGCGGACAATATAAACATATAGGGAAAACGCTGACAATATAGACAAAGAGGAAAAAAGCGGACGATAAAGATATATAGTGTAGACTAATTGGTGATTATTTTGGGCATTGATGAAGTTTATAAAAGTGATGTGTAATTGGATTTATACTTTAATATTTAAAAAAAAATATAATAAATTAGCAAATTGGGAGAAATATAAAAGTAATTTATGATTGAATGTCAATGAATTTTATTACGTTATATGACACATTTTTGGACTTTCTAAATATTGAAAACTAATATATGAAACAAATGGATCAAATGAATGTCTTAAGAAATACAATGATGGTACTAAGTTGGCAACAGCTGTATGTAATTAAGGATATGTCAGTGTTCGAAATTAGCAGTAGTCCTATAGCCCCTGACTACTAAATTTCTCCTCGGGCTACCAACTTTTCACAGTAACAAGCCCAACCAGGCTACTGTATTTTCAGAGGCAATATAAACAACTGTTTTGAACAAATGAATTGTGCTAGTGAAATGTCTTTTGGGCTAGTGAATATTCCAATCTGGTAGTCCGACCAGCCTAGTCGATTCAAGTCCTAATTTCTTACACTGATATGTATTTCATTTTGGCAATGTTTTTGTCTGTCTTTATGTGCAGTAGGCGGACAAAATTTTTGTTCGCAAAATAAAAAAAAGCCTTGGTTTTTCAAAATCAAAATTTTGAAAGAGTAATTTTTAATCATAAAGTCATTGATATAAATAAGTAAAGACCAGCTGTTGTTTTTTATTGATACAATATAGGCGAACGCGTGCTGCAAATTAACGGTAATTATATAAGTGTGAACAACATGCTACTGATTAATCGCTAGAGATAACATGATACGCATTTTGCGGACAATATAAATATATAGGGAAAACGCTGACGATATAAATATAGAGGAAAAAAGCGGACGATATAGAAATTTAGAGTAGACTTATTGATGATGAGGCGGGATTCGATGAACTTTATAGACATGCTGTATAATAGAATAATATATTCATATACGTAAAACTAAATGGCAAATAGGATAATATATTTTTTTTAAATTACGAATGATACTAAATTGGCCACATTTTAAAAAAAAATAAGGATTAAAACTTTCATTCACATTTGTACAATAATTTTTGGACAAAAACACTCTTATTGATAAATTCAAGTTTTTAAGGTAGTTTTAAAGTTTAAAGGTCGTTGATAAAAAGAATTAAAGGCATGCACGTATACTGTAATTAACTGTAATTAACGACAATTAAGTGTCTACAACATGCTACCTGATTAAACCTGTCCGCTCTTTGCCCTATTTTTGCGGACAATATAAATATATAGAGAAAAAGCGGACGATATAGATATAGAGGAAAAAAGCAGGCGCTATAGATATAGTGTAGAATGATGTGTGAGATAAAATTATAATAAAATAGATAATGATAGTGTATAGTAATATTGTGCAGCAATAAAAACTTAATTATATACATGGTAGAAGCCAGATTTTTTTTATTCATAACAGTTTTCTATTCTCCCGTTTTATATATTTATTTCGTCAGCGTTTTCCTTCTATATCGCCCGCTTTTTCACTAAATGTTTATATTGTCCGCATTTTCTGTAGCCACTTTAGGTGGGAATCGATGAACTTTATAGAAATGTTGTATAATAGAATAATATACCATAATATATTTATAAATAATTAAATATTCATATACTTAAAACTTAATAGCAAAAAAGATAATATATTTTTAAAAATTACGAATGATACTAAATTGACCACATTTTAAGCAAAAAATAAGAATAAAAAAAATGATTTATCAGAAAATATTAATTGATAAAACATAATTATATACATGGTAAAAGCCGGGTTTTTTTTATTTATAACAGTTTTCTATTCTCCCCTTTTATACATTTATTTCGTCAGCGTTTTCCTTCTGCGTGATTAAGTCAAACACACAAGTGGCACGTGGATACTTGGATAAGTTGATTGGTATTTATAGTAGAAAGGTTTTTTAGTAAATAAATGGATAGAATATAAATAAAACTAAAAAACATTAATGAATCAAAAAAAATTGACATAATTTAATTATATACATGGCAGAAGCCGGATTTTTTAAAATTTATAACAGTTTTCTATTCTCCCCTTTTATACATTTATTTCGTCAGCGTTTTCCTTCTATATCTATATCGCCCGCTTTTTCACTATATGTCTATATTGTCCGCGTTTTCTGTAGCCACTTTATTAAATATACAAGGGTGAGGTGTATGATTACTTGAAATATACAAATGTCGGTGCGTGATTAAGTCAAATACACAAGTGACACGTGGATACTTGAATAAGTTGATTGGTATCTATATCGTCCGCTTTTTTCCTCTATGTCTATATTGTCAGCGTTTTCCCTATATGTTTATATTGTCCGCAAATTGCGTATGCAAAGTGTGTTATTCAAACTTATTTCTCGTGCCCTTATTCAATTTTCCACACGTGACTGTTGAATACTTTGTACAGTTCAATTAAAAATTATTATGTCAATTAACATGTACAAATAAATAAATTAATTATTTTGTCTTTAATAGCCTTTTCTTATCAACAATGATTACGTCAATTAAACTGAACAAATAGATAATTGAAAGATTTCTTTTTAAAAACGGATTTTCTACATATAACAATTATTATTAAAGAATTTGAACAAATAAATAAACTAAAGTCTTTTTAAATTATTATAATAATTACACCTTACAGCTTTTATATACTTTACAAATGTCATTTCTCCGCGCATTTTAACACGGTACATTTAAAATTAATTATGTACAACGCCCGCTCTTTATCCGTAATTTAAAACATAAATAAATAAATTCATGGTATTTAAAAAGATTATTGCACTTCGTAAATATATTTATACTTTTTTGACTCAGTCTAATCAAATCAAATTTCATATATTACTTTATAATAGCCAATTATTCGCCTTTAATATAAATTTAACTATGCTCAGTCATTTTACACTATATATCTATATCGTCCGCTTTTTTCCTCTTTGTCTATATCGTCAGCGTTTTCCCTATATGTTTATATTGTCAGCTTAAGGCGTCCGCGTTTTAGACTGCGCCCCCGGACGTTTCGGCCCATTACCAAATCGGCCCCAAATTTAGTTCAGAATAGTCTTGCCTTAAAGGGATATTCAGGCAAAATAATGACAAAAATATTAAAATGATCTTATGTACTCAAATCACGCTAAAATGACATTTCTTGAAGTTTCAGCAAGAATTTCTGTTTAAATTCTTAATATTTTGGGTTTGAAGCGTAAATATATCTTTATATGTTGAACAAAATTTAGACCCGAATAGATTTACCAAATAGTTTAAAAACAAGCCACATGACTTGGAAAAACCCTTGAAGTTACAATAACAGATATTATGGATATTGTATGATTGAAGCAAGTCTAAGTCATTCACTTGACATGTTCTTTAACGTTTCCAGAGTGCACATTGACAACTTTTGTGAAATTCTAGCGCTCTAACCTGACCCACGCGGGTCAAGTTAGGAAACCACCATTTTATTCTTTATATGGAGAAAAGTTTTGTTCCTTTGACTGTCTAATACATTCATTTTGAGGGCATTTACAGAATAATGACTGAAAAACTCAAAACTAAGAAATGAAAATCTTGCCTGTGTCTCCCTTTAACGTGTTTTACTCAACACTTTTAATAGCATTTCAAAAAATAAATGAGAGACTTAATAAATTTAAACTGATTAGATAAATTATGATTTTGTATTAGAATTAGGGTAAGAACGTACAAAAAGTAATCAAATTAACCAAAACAGAACATAATAAACTTTATTAAAATAAACTAAACATAGTACACAAACAGACCTTCTTCATAAACATCTCTTTTTTTCTTCCAAAATATTTCATTTGAAGGATTGACTTGTAAAACAACACACAGAATAATACATGAAACCAGTTTTGAGAAAACGCCACATAGCAAATTTGGAAAATTTGTGTCGTAAAATTTTCCAATTTGGGAAAAAAGTTATCGTGAAATTTGCCAATTTGGGAAAATATGCTAGAATTCAAGGTGTTACAATTGTTAAAAAAATCTAAATAAATTTTACTTAAACTGTTCAGCTTTTTCTGTCATATCAAAAAAACAAGGACAGGCTAAAATGTGTACAAATCTAAAACAGATATCAATTAAAAATCCTGTTTTTATCACAAAACATGAATATAATCCGTAAAGCTATTTCGCGACACCAAAGTTGAAAATGCGGTACTTTTTCTTTCAAATTGCCGACTTCTAGATTGGGAATATTTTTTTTTGATTGGTAAAAAAAACCCCATAATTTAGATGGGGAATGGGGCCCATATTCGGACCCGTGGGATAGAGGAAAAAAGGCCTGAAAACAGACCTTTAATGATTTATAATCAACAACTAATGAATAGTTTATAACTGGCTTGAATCACAGGCACGAGTATCTGACCTGGGAAGAAAAACAATGACCAGATTGATAAAAAACCTCTGTGTTCATCTTAAATGTGTCAAAGAAATGTAGAAATATGAGCCCCCTTAAAAATATACTATAAGTTAAGAGAAGGCCAGAAACTCCAGATTCGAGCCTACAGCAAAAGGTTCATTTCCCGGGGCCGTTGTTTAACATTGTCCAGACAATTAAAAATTTTACTTTGATCACTATTTCAAGTTCGTATTAAGCTTCCAAATGAGACGGACCCAAGTCTCTAGCCCTTCCCATTCATGAAATATCTATCAGGAAATAAGCGCATTCATGCTAAAAATCCCTGGTAGATAAACTTGTGGCACAACGATTCGGTACATACATGTACATTGTAAACATAGGCTAATACATGTTTGTCAGCTGAGTGTGGGCCAGTCACTTAAATTACTAAATTATATTACTAAATACGCTAAGTAGGATCACTCACAACTGTCAGTAGCATCTGATTCGAGTTTCAAACCTCTCCAAGGGTTTTTGATTCCTTTCTACACCATTGTAAATCATTTGTTCGGTATTTTATCAGGAGTCTTCTGATTGGCCAATAGCAACAAAACCACAACGTTTCGCACATGAAACTATATGTGTAGGATGACATAATTTCGCTGTTATGAATAAAGTTGTAAATTAATATGCTATTAAATAGATAAGGATGAAGTGACATTAATTTACATGAACAATTTTATATCTTATTGACCTAAACAATTTTAAATATGATAGAAAATAACAGAATATGCAAGAAAAAAATATCTGACATAATAATTATGCTTGCCGCTATGACCAGAATATCCAAGGGCAGGGTACCTTCATGGATATTCTTATCCAAACCATAACATACACATGTATTTTTTGTTGTGAAATCAACTCTGAGCTAAATTCAATCACGGTTTCTCGTTAGGTGCCAAATGTCATTGGACTCGAACTCGAAACCCTTGGAATACTGTTCCACAGCTCTACTTACACATCTTCTCCCCAAAGTGATCAGTTCATATATAACATACTATTATATCCATATCTATATGTGCAAACATAGCACAATTATAGATAATCTTTCACTCACCTTTGAAAGTATAAAGTAATCCATCTTCATTTGCAATAAATGATGTAACAAACCTGAAAATTACCACAACATTGTGACATTGACATGTTACATGTATGTGCCAACGGAATTATAATGAAGTGACATCAATAATGATCATAGTTTATTTTAGGGGTGTGGATCGTCGGATAAGTGACGATCCGATCCGGACAACGATTCAGCACTTACGATTCACAAATCGAACCACAAATTTTTTGTTATCAAGATACCTATAAAAACATGTACATTAGTTATAAAAACATGTTTAATTAAATTAAAAAAAACAATACAGAACATTAAACATATAAAATGTAAAATAGATTTAAGTTTTTATTCTTTGGAAGAGTATTTTTTGTTTTGTTTTTTGAAACCAATTACTTCCTAGCTCAGCATCATGGCACATGGTCTTTAACCAGCAAATTGTATTTTAGGTAAACTTCATATACTTTATAGTCAACTTGTATTTTCTCGATTTTAAGAGTGTGAGAAACAGTGAAAGTATATAAAAAAATTAAATCGCGATGCACGATCTCTGGGCTTACGAATATTCAAACTCGATTTTTCACTTTGATTCGTGATTATCCAAGTACTCGGATACTCGCCCCAGCACTAGTTTATTTCATGAATGACATATTCTTCATCAATCTCTTTCCACATCATTATTATAAACATCAACAAATACATGTAAGCTTTCTTTTCATGAGGAGTACTCTACATGTCTTTTCTATGTTCAGTATATTTAGTAATATGACTGCAAAGTTATCAAGTACATGTTAAAAGGGATTAAAACTTTATTTGGCTCATCAGTACGAGTCAGATTATAGTGAACTTTAAACATTTGAAAACTAACATGTAGATCATCTTGTATTCACTTGAAGTACTTGGTATATTTTTCTACCTTACATCGAAAGAAAAAAATGTGTTCTTTGTTGACTTTGTCAAACAAAACAGTAAGACATTGTTTATTTTGTTTTCTTCCAAACATACATTAACCAGCTATTACTTTTCAGTACTATGGCTTGTTTAGGGTCTGAGAGTGATTTAAGGGAGAGCCCCTTGGAATTTTACCCTCCAAAAATGTGGGGCTTAGACTATCATTTCAATGTGTACAACAAAATGTATGTCAAGGACATTCTAGAAATGCAAGAATATCCACACTTCACAGGTAAATTTTTTCAGTTTTTAGCTTATTTTCGCATATTAATAAATAAATTTTAACACATATATAGTAACGATACTGATGACACTGAGTCATATGACACATAAACAGAATCAAGTTAACTTGCACATTTAGATGGTCTGTTCAATGTTGGTCGCTCAATTTTGATACTTAAATGCTGCACACTTTCCTTAAACACATAACAAGAATAAATGTTGAATTAAACTTTTCTTGAATACATACTAAGAACTAATGTTGAATAAAACTTTCCTTAAATACATACCAAATTATTAGCCAATAATTGGCAGTTATAAACATTGATATGCCATTGGTATTAGGTGCAACAATATGGCAATATACTGGTATATTGTGATGCAGCATCATGCAGTTTGTACTTGTACAAACTACAATACTCTTGTACTGCAATATTACTTTTAATATTTCTGTTTTTGATCAAAATACACATTTAGTGTTTTAAGTTTTTTTAAGCTCTGTGAACAGTTTAAAAAGCCATTATTAAATGCAGCATTTAGTCTTCGTTGACAGGGTAGAAGGGAATCAGGACAACTTTGATCAACATCACTTGTCAAATCATTAAAATACAAGTTAAAAAGCCTAAACCATGCCCACTCTCAGAGAGGGGGTTCTCAATCAACAGTTAAGAAAGTACAACAAACCGGTTACGCTACGGCCTGTAAGGGGAAATCACTGCAGAACAGTTTGTCCTCAAAATCATTCGAACATTATGCAATTCGTACCAATATTTAAATGGGTATATTCTCAGCACATATTGTCTTGAATTTATTTTAAGTATACCAATCATTACAATTACATTTGTTATCCAATTTATTTTGATTCGACCAGACGTTTCAGTCTTTGTCGCAACAGACAAACATTTAAGAATTTCAGACCTGGCATTATTTTGTGAATTTATGCATTAGGTTCTACTTTTTCACAAAATATGCAACTTTATTATTAAACAACGAGCACATACCAAGAACATGGAGAAAAAATTGATTTGTGCTTTGGATATTCAACTATAATAGAGAAGGATTTTCAAAGCTGATTGACTGTTCACATCATTCGTGGCGTCTTAGATGTGCAGCATCAACATTTAACTTGTTTATTGCTGCTGCATGTTGTTTAATATAGTGCAGGCGATACTCAGGCTTGATTTTTTGCTTATCTTACCACCAATTTGTTTTTGTTGCTGGTCCCAAATAATTTTATCCGAAGTTGCTGCACTCAAAAAAAATAAAATTAAGTAACACTTTTCATGCTTTAACTGTAATTTTTATAAAATGTATAAAAAAAGTTTGATTGGATAGAAATGACTGAGATAAAAAGTAAAGATTGGTATAATTCTATAAAAAAAGGATATTAATCAAATTGGCAAATTTAAAAAAAAAAAGGAAGCAGGAAATTAAATATATATGTTTCGACAGCATAGTTTTACATTGTTCAATAGTTTTCCAAAATAACAGTGTCAATCAGTTTGTCTGCAGATGATACAAGTATTTATGTCTCATGATCTGATTACAATGTTCATGTTTTATGTTGAAGTTGTTTGATAGAAGACAACAAATAGATTAAATATATACTATGCTCATCCTTGAGTAAAATATATTAGTCACAAACATTTACTGAAATCTATGAAATTCTTGCTGAATATGGCTAATTTGAATAAGAGAATGAATAAACTATGTATGGGAAGAGCTCTGCATTCCTTATTATATAGGTCAAGTAAAGTTGGCCATTTTTTTTAATATCATAGTCACACTATATACATGTATTCATATTGTGACCACTTATTATAGTGAAGAATTTTAAACGTAGCATATCTACATGTACTTTGTGTTAAGTCAAAACATGTTTATTTTATAGTAACTAACAAAGAGACTATGTACCAGTTATCAATATTTTCTAATATCAAATTTGAGCTTAATATATCTTTAAGAGTTGTAAACTTTACTAATTCATTATTTGAATATTAAAGCTTTTCATAGTTTAAGGTTTTATTCCAAAGTAAAAAGGTTAGCTTTTGTTTTATTGCATCTTATAATAATCAGTGTATCGCTATTTGTTTAACTGTATTGTTGCACCCAAAATGGTGTGGAATATCTATGCCAGGGACTTTATGCTGGCGGACAAGTTGATTTTTCCATGGACATGGGAAACTCTGAGCCAGTAGAAATAACAAAACACTGTATTTTTATCCTGTTATTACTTATATTTTCACACTCCTGCCTAATGTCTATGGAAAGTACTCTGATTGCTCAGATTGACTGTATGTAAAACAGGTGATGATATTTAAATGTTCTTTTCATATTTATAGGTGCATTTTCATACAAAAATCATCCTATATATAAGGTGGATGTTTTAGGAGTGGTTGTGAAGAAAGTGGAAAACTCAAAATGTTTCATCTATGCAGGTAATGTATATTATAGGAACTTACAGGAATTGTCATTTCATATATTTAGATTTTAGGAAATGTTATACAGTAAACTCTGCTTTATAATGAACTCATTGGGACATTCAAAATCTGTTCCTTCTATCCGGAGTTCCTTGTAAGCATATAGCGAATTTGTTCCTTGTATAAGGAGTTTTTATAGCGAACAGATTTGCATATAACGAACTGATTGTTTACCATCGTCCTCCATTTTGAAAAGCATTTGTTTTAGAAACATTAGTCACTAATATCTTTTTTTAGACACAATACCCGAGACCGTCCTTTTTTGGAATTTAAAAATCCTTTGTTATTTCAGTTTTAGTTTTACTCCCTTTCACATTTTCTCATAAAATGCATTATTTTGTTTCTAAACTCAGTGCTTTTCGTTTTATTTTATCCTGTCACTTGTATCAATTTTGGCCCGATAACAAGGTGCCGTATATTTTACTGATCTACGGCACTTGATCACGTAGTATGCATGTTTGCCGGACTACTTTTCAAGAAAAAATATATAAACTGTCGTTAAATCTTCTGTGTGTAGAATAACGAATTTTGGAAACGTTGATAAAACATTGTTTGTTTATTTTATTTCACTCTATAATTTTTCAAGCGAAATAAAAATTATTAAAAGTGAAATAAATGTAAAACTTAACTCGTTTGCGACATTAAAATAGCGTACTTGATTTGATTGTTTTGCACGTGCTGTTTGGCGCTACGTTGTGACGTCACGTAAACAATACTTTAAACGTCTGTACAGCGTTAACGACTGAATAAAAGATATTGGTGTTTGAATTCATTTTTTTAGTTAGACCATTTTCTTTCATTCTAGATAGTTTTCACAACAAAATTCGACAAAAAATTGTTTTTATTTATCACGTTTTTCTAAACAAAATGGCGCCCTCAATGTGAAAATACACAGGGAGATAATAAGAATGGCGAGTGCATTGTTGTAGAATAATGCACGCTTCGGGCCTTCTTTGTTTATATAGAAACATTTCCGATAGTGTGATTAAAGTTAGTTTGCCTAATAAAATTCTTTAAAAAAAAAAACGGTGACAGGATATATAGAATACTGTATGTGTATTTAAATTCGCGGAAGCAAATTTTCGCGGAAAGGTCCACTTTGGGGGTCTATACAAATATTCGCGCTATTTTGAATTCGCGGAGGTGACTGCCGAAAATCATGAATTCGCGTTGACCACTCAGGTTAAAAAATAAAGAAAATAACTCTTATCATCGTGGGAGTTCACGGTTATTTTCAATACCAGGTGTCAAACAATACGCTATTGTAAAGAAAAAGACATTGTCTAGCGGACAAATTATAGCAAACAAAAGAATGCCCGTTAACGTGCAAAATTTTTCACAGTTTGCGTTATAAACGCATCTGATCAGATCATGTTTTGGTTTTTCTCAAAAAACAATACAAAAAAAAAAACACAAACATAAAAGATTTTAAATGATGAATAACTTAAAAAACAAAACTCAATTACTCAGTAAACATTTAAATAATAAGTGTGAAAGCATATATGTATAAGTATGGTAATACGCCAACTGTGACAGAAAATGAAATGAGGCCAGAGGGCTCAAGTGTCCTATAGAGACATTTTTTTTATTTAAATTGAACATGGTTCTTTAAAGTGTGTTTATAGGATAATGGCGATTGGGTGATTTCTAATATAATTTTGCTATGGTAAATAATATTTCAAACTACTGATATTGTATAAGGGTAAATTTAAGACCTGTTGTGTTTTTAGCTGATGTGCATTTTTGGACATACTGTGTATTTCAAGTTTAATTTACAAAGTTTGATACAAGTGCATAAAAAAAATCATGTCCTTATCAGGCTTATGTTTGATCAGACTATACATCTATACATGTATGATCTAAAACTATTCTTTCTAAAGTGAAATTAAAATGTATCATTTGACACTGGTTTAAATATTGATAATAAAGATGAATAAAATGATAGTGTCATCAGGAATTTATGAATTTGTTCACTTCTTCTTTTTACTAGTTGATGATGGTACAGGGTGTATTCTATGCTGTTGCTGGAAAGACAACTTTTACAGTCATACAGGTACAATTGTAGATCATCATTTACTTCCCTTTAATATACTGCATTGTATATTTAGATATATGTACATAAATGTATATCTTTTAAGTTATACAGCATAATTATTATAGAAATTCACACCTGTATTGAGCAAATGAAGAATATGTAGCACACCAGATATCACTTATAAAATATGAGAATATAAAATAATCTTCAACCATGAATATAAAGATCACAAGTTATAATACCTTGATAATAATGCTTCTATAAATCTTGCATAAACATTTTAAATTGGCTTTTAAAAATAAGGTTATTTGGTCCATACATGTAGGTAACTTGGTGGACTTAAAATATTTTAACATATTCTCAGATAGGTAAGCACATGGAATCACACTTATGTTAATGTTATAATTTGTGATCTACTTAATTGAAATGATGCTGTGTACTATTAAAATAACTAAAAATGTTAACATTTTGTTATGAAGTTTATAAATCCGCAGGTACAGGTGCAAATTTAGATCTTCCTCCAACGTTACAACATAAAATTGATGAACTAGACACCTATACTGCCAGTGTTACAGAAGGCTATATTCTAGGTGATCTTATACAGGTTAAAGGAAAATTGAAGATTTTTAGAGACAAGAAAGAAGTTGTGGCAACTATCCACAGTATCCTTTTCCAATCCTTATAGATTTATCTTTTCCTTTATGTATATCCAATAATGATGGAATAATAACATCTTTCATATTTTACGGTTTGGATTGGAATATCCTTCCCGATGGATATTTCGATCTGAACTGCAACTATATGTCAGATATTTTTTCGAATGTATTCTACCATATTCCATTATGTTTTAAACTTTTTACCTTAATAAAACAATTTTCCATGGAAATTTATGTCATTACACCCATAACTATTTTCTTACAACAGTGTATGAATTTAAAACTTCATTCAGAACAGTTAAATTATATCATCCTAAGGGTGCCATTGTACAGCACGCGAATCATCTGGCTGACCCCTCATGTCAATTTCCGACTTGGGTAAAACTAATGGAAACACCAGTCTGATATGCAAGTATGTGAAAAAGAATTGTGCATTAATGATGCAGAATCTATGTAATGTACGACCATAATGAGCCATGTGATAAGTAACTGACCAATATATTTTATAATACATCAAATTGAAAGAAATAAATTAGCACATCTGACTGCTATGAGTATATTTAAGCCTCTGTTACAAATATTTCCAAGGGAGTGGTTACTTTATAAGATCGTTGTTATTTTTTTCATGTAAAGAACTTGAGAAAAAGGTTCAAAAATATTATTTCTGGAGATCGTGTTAATTTTGTTATCTCCCCTGGCATTAATTTTGTTAAGGCATTTTTCGTGTTTTTAAAAAAATAAATAAATATTGACCTTAGCTTGAATCAGAGAAGGTGACAGATCCACAGTTTCAAGTATTTAGAATATGTGAGTTACCTAGGTTATATAATCAGAGATACGACAGACGTTTCCAGTTGCCATACAAGGTTCAGCAAGCATTGAAACAACATAGACAAGATATATCCTGTGGTACCACCTCAGAGGTAAGTTAAACACTGTAAATTGTGTTTGATGCATACACATTTTATACTAATTACTTTGAGAACTTCATACCATCTACTTTTATATAATAATTTTTCTAATAATGGCATATGAATTATGATGATATCTAATAGTAGACAAAATTTCCTATGATATTAAAGGTACACCACTGAGGTTCTTCTTGACATGATTGGACTGAATATAATTTTTGAGTTTAATGTTCCATTTGATCTAGGTCTAGAAATTTAACTTACATGCAAAATTTCAGATTATTGGCACATTCTGTTTTTCCAGATTATTATTCCAGTTGTTAAAAATGACCGTAATTGAAGAGCATTGCAATGCTTTTCACTCAAATCTGACTGTGAACAGCATAACAATATGATTTCAATTTATTTCTAAGTCTGTTTCTTATCATTTACATACCTTTCTGTTTTAAGTGCCCTCTGATTTATCTAATGTAAGAAATTCAAATTTTATGTTTTTAGGCTTTTGTACCTCAGTGGAGTTTCTGTAAGACTGTAAGAACTAGTATTCTTGCATCTCAGACAGGATTATCTACCGTTTACACCGTAGCTGGTAAATTTTTTCCATTATGAATGTATGAATGAAGTTGTATGTTCATATGCTAGTATCAGAAAAAAGTGCGTAATGAGAATATCAGTTTTCATAATTTCTGTTCCGAAAATAATTGACATCTAATATGCAAGAAAAAGAATCAAACACCGGCTGTTGGTTCAGACGGGAATATCTAGCTTTCGGGTAACTGTTTAGCGGAAACTCGGCAGAGCCTCGTTCCCGCTGTAAACAGTTACCCTCGAGCTAGATATTCCGGTCTGTACCGGCAGCCGGTGTAAGATTCTTATATGGTAACAGTGTATTATCTGTCTGCTTATACATGTAGATGACTAAATAAAAAACTAGGGCTTAATTACAAACATCCAGGAAAATCAGTACTCTGTTACCAGAATATATCTTCAACTGTCATTTGACCCTCCCTTTCCAAAAACAAATTATAGAAATCATCTCCTTTATTATTTTTATTGGATAATCATATTAATTGCTGAAATGTGTTAAATGGAATTTCAGAAATAATTGGTCAATATCATTTTATGAAAATTATCAGGTAAGTTATTGTTAAAAACAATATTATAATTATGAAATATCTCTTCTATATTTCAGACGTCAATTATATATGACCTGAAAACTGTGATATTTGAATACATCTCAAAAAGCAATTGTATAATTGACCTTCCAGTGAATGACCTTTTACAGTATAGCAAGGTCAAGGACATATTATCAAAACTAAATGATGGTAAAGTAAGTTGAATTATCAATTACTTAGTCACTTATGTGCACATGTTACATTTCTATTTTTTAGGGAAATTAGACATAAAAAAGAAAGTTTAAAATTATTCATTAATATCATTAAACCATTTATGATAAATACATTAGTGTTTATACATTGAATATGTTAACTACTATTATATCTCTTAAGTTGGCTTCCTCCGTCAGTTTTGTATATGAAAAGTTGTCTGTCCTTGATTTCCATGTTGATAAGGTGATGTTTGGATTATTTCGCATATTTCCATTTCATACTACAATGCTACATGTTTGTAATACTGTAAGCTTCTTTGTTTGGCCTCCTCAGGTGAGAAAATAGGTTTGAACTTTATCTCTTGTCTTGCCTTCTTACTACTGAATGTCAGGTTCATATTGATATATTTTATACTGTAAGATTCTGCTGGTAGGTTTATCTTAATAAAGGGAGACAATCCTTTCACAACTAATTCTGAGAAAAACAGGAAGTAGTAAACCAGTCTGAATGGAAATTTTATTGAGGAAAGACTGTAACCTCTGACCTCCAGGAATGGTTCCATGAATTTAAATGTATTCTGTTGAGGTGTATCATCTGGTATAAAGTAGAATTTTCCACCAAGATTAGAATTTTTTGCTAAGGCTTTGTCTGAAAAAAAAATTAATTCATAGTGGCATACATATGCATTTTGTTAAAGAAAACTTTGATCAAGGGGTTTAAATATTTGCTGCTCAGCTCACTGGGATATAGGGTTCTATCCCAAATGTGGTATTGACCATTTATTTTTTTCATATGACAAGAGTGTTGGTTTGTTCAGTTAGTTAGTTAGTTAAAATAAGGTACAAGCTGCAAATTCTGGTTTTCTTGAAAATGCAAATAATGTCATTAATGTAAAAACAAAGGCAGTAACCCTGTATCAAGTAATATATCAAGTGACGGCAAATTCACCAAATTTTGCATTGGAATGTTTGAATCCTGTTTGCATTCAAAAGTTCGAATGTTCAGATCACTCTGAAAAAATATTCTCATACACATGAAGTATTTAGTAGAACCAGCATCCTTGATATACAAAAAGACACTTGATTGAAAATGTTCATTTATTCCAAAAGTTGAAAAAATAGGTTTATTCTACATGACTAGAGCATGAGTCTGTATACAGATCTAACTCATCATTTTGCAATAAGAAAAAAAAAAACAAACCAAAAAACAACATTTTTTTATCAAGATATACATGTTGTTTCTATTAATAAACTGACCACTGCAATTATGACAAGGTCTATATTGTTACTATGTAAAACACACTTGTCTGATAGAACATATTTATAGTAACTATATAAGACAGACATGTCTAAATGAGACCCTAGTGTTACACAGATAACCCTGACAAGCTGCAGTTCCCTAGTTCAAATTGAATCTGAGAAAGTTTCCATTCATAATAAGAAGTTTGTTTGTTCAAATCTAGAATAATATACAACATGTACATTGTAAGTCTATAAGAATTGTAAACCAGATGTTAAAATGTTATTTTATATTCTACAGTCATGTTTATCACAACAGATCTTCTTGCTATGGGAATCCCTTGTTTATTATATAATCCCTTTGAGTATTGATGATTAAGAAAATCTTATGTAAAATCTGAATTATCACAATTTGCTGAAATGTGATTAATGTAAACCTAAATGAAGAGACATAAAACTCAGAAGATACTGTTACATTTACCTGCACATATGAAAGCCCAGGCAGTATTTCCAACATATACAGGTTGGAATAGAGCTGTACCATCACCAACTTGGTACAGGGTACCGTGAGAATCTCTGGCATTACGGAGACCATTGGTGATATAGTAAGGATCACCTTCTCCATACATTACATTAGCTCTCAGAGAGATTGTCTGTAACACACTGCCTGAAAATACACCCTTACTTAAAGTAACAGTTAGAATTAGAAGTGGTACTAAGCAGTTATGTGATACTGAAGATTTTATTCTGAGCATATAGTGAAAACTAAAGAAAAATTGGAACCATTTAATAGTCTTATTCCCATGTCCTTGACATGTTTACCATCTTAACAGCTTTACCTTTGGTTGTTATACCCCCGCACAACGAAGTTGTAATGGGGGTATACTGGAATCAGCTTGTCCGTCCGGCCGTCCCCGTCCGAACGTCTCCCCATCCGGATGTCTCCCCGTCCGTCCGTCCGTCGGTTTTTCCTTGTCCGCCCAATAACTTGAGATTCCTTTGGCCCACAGTCTTCATATTTGGCATGGAGGTTAGTCATGATTAGTAGACGACCCTTATTGATTTTGGGGTCACTGGGTCAAAGGTCAAGGTCACAGGGGCCTTGACTTTAAAAAGCTTGTCCGCCCAATAACTTGAGATTCCTTTGGCCCACAGTCTTCATATTTGGCATGAAGGTTAGTCATGATTAGTATTAGTAGATGACCCATATTGAATTTGAGGTCACTGGGTCAAAGGTCAAGGTCACTGGGACCTTGACTTAAAAAACCTTGTCCGTCCAATAACTTGAGATTCCTGTGACCCACTGTCTTCATATTTGGCATGGAGGTTAGTCATGATTAGTAGATGTCTCCTATTGATTTTGAGGTCACTGGGTCAAAGGTCAAGGTCACAGGGGCCTTGACTAAATAAAAGCTTGTCCGCCCAATAGCTTGAGATTCCTTTGACCCACAGTCTTCATATTTGGCATGGAGGTTAGTCATGATTAGTACATGACCCCTATTGATTTTGAGGTCCCTGGGTCAAAGTTCAAAGACTAAAAATAAGCTTGTCCGCCCAATAACTTGAGATTCCTTTGACCTCCAATCTTCATATTTGGCATGGAGGTTAGTCATGATTACTTAATGAACCCTATTGATTTTGAGGTCACTGGGTCAAAGGTCAAGTTCACAGGGGCCTTGACTAAAAAAACTGATTTTTAAATTTTCACATTTGAAGCATGGAGAATACATATCTTAGCAATGCACTGGCTTAGTAACCTCAGATTTGGCAGGGTAGTTGTCCTTGAGCTCTAAATGGCCACTGTTGATTCTGACAAAGTGGTATGCGGGGGTATTCACGCCATGACAGTGGCTGTTCTAGTTTGGTTACTTGTTATAATGTATTGATCTTTTGGTAGAAACATTTACTTCACTTATACCTTGTGTAATGTTATTATATCACTCTCTTAAATACTTTTTCTTAGTATATAAATTTCTTGAGTATGTAAAATTTGCTGTGTCCAAATAAACAGACTGGTAACAAAATTTTCAAGAAAGCTTGTGAAAAAGCATCAAATTTGTTTCATTTATCCCTGAAATCATTTTTATGCTTTCTCCTTTCATAAGTCTGATAGGAAAATAGTTTTAAAGTTTTAAATTAACAGAAAAGGGAAATAAATAGACTGGTAAGTTCTTCCAATTAAAAACTAGATATACATGTACATTGTAGATGCAATGGTGAATAAAAAAAGTCCATTCTAAAAAAGAATTTTAATTTGGCCAACTTCCTTTCAAATATATTGTATTAAGCATAGTTACCATTTTTCGTTTGAGAACCATTAGCTTTCAGAACAAGACATTCTGCTTTATACTTGGTCTCAGGATAACCTGGAAATAAAAATTCTCTAGGTGGCGCTGTATTAGCTTCATTCCCATCTATGATGTCATCGTATCCAATGACAACATCCACTGTACTGCAGTAAATTAACCTTTTGACATCATTGAGAAGACATGCTTTGATAAGGTTTGATGTTCCTACAAATATGAATGAAAACATTACAAACTTATACTTTTTCAGTAGATAGTATATGTTGGAAAATATAATTATGTTCAAAGATTAAGGTTTTGTATTGTTAGCATTTTTATTCTGTAACAAACGTTCCATTTCCCCTCATATTACATTGATTAGTGCAAAGTTTACTCCTAAATTATTAACTAGATACTGATATCAGTTCCATAGCATTGATATAGCATAAATTTTGTCTCCATAATTATAGATAAAGTTCAGTATCAAAAACTTGATAATTTTAAAGGGCAATTTTCTATAAACAACTTCATGACTATGTAGCTAGGACAAATATAATTGGAATAAAATGATTCTACCTTCTACATTGATGTGATGCATTCCCGTGATATCAGGGAATGTTCCGTAGCTAATCTTTCCTGCTATATGGTAGACAGTATCTACACCTTGTAATGCGTTACATACAATATTGGAATCAGTGACACATCCTACAGTTGACAATATCACCTTACTGTCATGGTCACCTGGTTATATATAAAATATCTTGATAGAATTTAAGTGTTATATAGAATATGATATAGCTCATGACTGGGCAAGATTTGAGTTCCTATAATCATGTATGAATGTATTTAAGGTAGATATAGCTGATTAGCCTACTTTATTGATACCTTTTCAGTTTTGTTGCTTATGTATAAACATGATAGGCTTCAGTTATCCTACTAAAGCTTACATTCAATGTACTATACTGGTAAGCATTTCACTATTTTTTAAAACTGATTAAAATCATGAAAAAAAAACGAGGATTTAATTAAAACATTGATTATATCAAAAACAACTGGATTGCATAACACATGCTGATATTGGATTTATTCTGTTTGTTATTTTAGTTTAACCACAATTATTTTAGCTTTTAACGTTGATTGAACCACTGTTGTGTTCATTTCCTGAAAATAACTAAGTACTGGTGTCAATATAAGAAAACAAAAAACCCATGACCCTATGGCTGACAGGCAGACATCTTAGTCACTAGGCCATTTCTTACTATTTGTTATTAGTCAAGTTTTTATCATTATAATCAGAATCGAAACATATATTACCATAGCAGTTTTTGTATGGTTTGATATCCAACACTCTTATCTCTCTCACATGATCTGCCTTGGTTTGTAACAAGTTAACTATATGTTGTCCTAGAAATCCTGACCCTCCTGTTACCATGACTACATCACCTGATGTGCTAACAGCCTGGTTGTCCTTTCCACAATCTTCAGTAGCTTTTCTAGTTGGACTTAAAATTGTTTTGAAATTTAATGATTTTCCTTAATATAAATTGATTGAAAAATTGAATACAATTTTATGTATCTATCTATTTATTAAGTTTTAATTAATTAATTAATTAATTAATTTATTTATTTATTTATTTATTTATTTATTTATATTTGTTTGTTTGTTTGTTTGTTTGTTTGTTTATTTATTTATTTATTTATTTATTTATTTATTTATTTATTTATTTATTTATTTTGTAAAAAGAAATGAAAGATTGCAATATCAATCCTCTACACTGGTTACATTCATACAATAATGCTAATGGTACATTTTCTTGAAATTAGTCCATCAGAATAGACTAATATTAAATAATGATAGCGAAATAAGAAATACCTATGTGAGAATAATTCCATATTTTTGTAATTCACTTTACTTATTAGATGAATCACTCTTTTGTATGATTTATTGTATAACATATTGAATGGTCTAAGAACAAGTCTGAAATATACAGAATTTTCTATTTAAGGCCATTATATATAAACAATTTGTTTTCTATTTTGCTGCACACTTTCAGCATATAGATAACTATTTTTGTTTAAAGAGCAATTTTGGAGGATCGTGCAATGTTTTTACACTACAGTCAAATGATCTAATAGGTACTATTAATTTTAACCAGTAATTTGCATGATTTTGGTAATTAAATTGTCTGGTGTAACATTTCATTGAATTTTAACTTCTCATATTTGAAAATAATAAAATTGGACAGTACATAATAAAGTGTTTGGTTAGACGTACCAGAAGTGCAAATTGGCATGACTCTATACTGGCAGTATAAAGCTTACCATTATAATTACCTATTCTCATAGAGTTAATCCCTAGTCTCTCTAACAATCCTGCATAGTATTATGAAAAATGCCAAACAAAAATGTAAGCATTTTCTGTTTGCAAAACATTTGTATCTAGCATCCATCCCAATTATCCTCATGAACTTCTCCGACATGATTGACAGGAAAGAGCTGATCCTCATAACAGGTCTATTTCATTCTGAAATTAACTTTACTTACATATGTGTTTGTCAAATGTGATAATATGTTCCAGATATGTTTAAAAAACCTTGAAAATATGTTTCAGATACATTTAAAAAAACCTTGGAAAATGTTCCAGATACATTAAAAAACCTTAGAAATATGTTCCAGATACATTTAAAAAACATTAGAAATATGTTCCAGATACATTTTAAAAACCTTGGAGATATGTTCCAGATACATGTATATTAAAAAATCTTGGAAATGTTATATTTTATATAGTCACATAAAATGTTCATAAATAATCATGCAATAGTTTGGCCTTATATTGGAAAGAAAAAATGATACCTGCTGTAGGATTGTCCTCTCATCAGATTACAGCTATAGTTCACCACTAGGTGGCACTTCTCATCAGATTACAGCTATAGTTTACCACTAGGTGGCACCAGTGTACCATATGTGTCACTGTGACTGCACAAGTTAAGCAGCTTTTATACGCCTTTGTCATGTTTTATTACACCAGTTTACAACATCATTATGTTTTATCTCCTGTTAAAACTATCAGCGGGCAACTGTAGCAAGTTTTGTTTCCCCAACATTTATGAAATAGTAACAACTGTTAGGAATGTGTATGCATGGCTAACCTCTTTCAGAACAATTTCATATTTAGAATTGTACAATATTTTTGTAAGAAGAAACAAATGAACTAGTGATAAGTACACAACAAAGCAAATAGATTCATGGTTAGTTAACATGTTTCTCTAACCATTCCAGGAAAACTGTATGAAAAAAAACATTCAACATTGTATTTTTTAAACGTATTTTCAAACTGATTACTCCAGAAACAATGGTTAGGAAACTATCTGCCTATATGACTGAAATACTGTTGGGAAAAGGCGTAAAATCAAACTGATTAAGGAATTTTTGAAAAATTTGAAAAAAGTATATCAACAACATCAGAAGTTTTCTAATTAATCTGCTCTATGAATGAGATGAATTATTGAATTGTAAATGTTTATAATCAATATTATGTTATTTTTTTAGCTCCTTTGAATAGTGATAAGGATGAGCTTTTATTAACCAGGTTTAACCAGGTTTTCCGAAGGAAAAAACTGGTTATTAGATTGAGGTATGTCGGCGGGCGGGCGGACGGGCGGACGGGCGGGCGTAAACAATTTCTTCTGTGCGCAACTCCTCCTACATTTCTCAACGGATTTTGACCAAACTTTCACAGAAGCTTTGTCATCAAGTGCCCTGGCGCATATTGTCGGGGTTTTGCGATTAGATAATATTTGACCTAATTATGGCCCTTTGTTTTTTTTTCTTATATAAAATATATAGTGAACAATTTCTTCTGTGCGCAACTCCTCCTACATTTCTCAACGGATTTTGACCAAACTTTCTCAGAAGCTTTGTCATCAAGCGCCCTGACACATATTGCCAGGGTTTTGCAATTGGTATATATTTGACCTAATTATGGCCCTTTGTTTTTTTTCCTTATATAGAATATATAGTTTCTGTGTGCAACTCCTCCTACATTTCTCAACGGATTTTGACCAAACTTTCACAGAAGCTTTGTCATCAAGTGCCCTGGCGCATATTGTCGGGGTTTTGCGATTAGATAATATTTGACCTAATTATGGCCCTTTGTTTTTTTCCCTTATATAAAATATATAGTGAACAATTTCTTCTGTGCGCAACTCCTCCTACATTTCTCAACGGATTTTGACCAAACTTTCTCAGAAGCTTTGTCATCAAGCGCCCTGACACATATTGCCAGGGTTTTGCAATTGGTATATATTTGACCTAATTATAGCCCTTTGTTTTTTTTCCTTATATAGAATATATAGTGAACAATTTCTTCTGTGCTCAACTCCTCCTACATTTCTAAACGGATTTTGACCAAACTTTCTTAGAAGCTTTGTTTTCAAGTGCCTGGCACATATTGTCGGGGTTTTGTGATTGGATAATATTTGACTGAATTATGGCCCTTTGTATATTTTTTCCTTATACAGAATATATAGTGAACAATTTCTACAGTGCGCAACTTCTCCTACATTTCTCAATGGATTTTGACCAAACTTTCACAGAAGCTTTGTCATCAAGTGCCCTGGCGCTCACTAAATTCCCATGTTTCTTCCAAGACATCATTCAAGTATTTTTTTAAAATTGTGAACATACTTTTCTTGATATCGCACAAAACACCACACGCCAATATTGTTGACAAAAGAAAATGACAAGAGACGCAAAAATGCAAAAATTAAGCAAAAATAAAGTACTGTTTACCTTTCTAAAACATTTGGGGAAAAAAGGCGAATAGACAACATAAAATTTCTCAAGCCATAATTCCTCCTAAAAGTTCAATTAAAAACAAATGCCCCTTCATGACAAAGCTTCTGTGAAATATTTTTCTGAAAACCTGGTTGCATCGCATTGCGATGTTCCTTGTTATGGCATGGTATCCTTATGCCTAGTATGCTTTATTACAATGACAATGTCTGAGATATTTGGTTGACAAAGATAATGAATACTTTTCACATGATTTTAATTCCTTAATATTTGTTCACTACCAGTAGAACTATATAATATAGGAAATAATTGACACAGTAATAGTTATGATATTTTCTTATCTTGTACTTTTATATCCACTCAAAGTTTTTAGGGAGTATATAATACAGGAGTGAGCTTGTAGGGCAGTTTAAGAATGAGGTAACCGTGTATATACCAAGCTTATGTGAAGATCTTTATTGGGTTTGTCTCAAGTCTCCCAAGGTGTTTGTCATTGTAAATGAAAATATAAAACTTATTCCTGGACAATAACTAAAGTTAAGGATTGAGATGTTGTAATCAAGCTTTTGTATATAGCAAGCTTATATGGGAGACTTCAGGTCAGATTGCATTTAGGCCTCCTGGGTCAAGC